CTTTCAGAATCATAGCAACTCACAAGCCACCACAGTATGAAAAACTGACACACGAGTGGTGGTGTAAAGACTACTGGCAGAAAACCCCATGGCACAGTTCTACTCTATGATACACAAGGTTGCCATGGGTACGAATGGACTCAATAGTAATGGCTTACATTGTTTAGTTTTTGATGGAACCACTTTTTATATTGAGCACTGGACCTGCACATGAAAAGAGAGCCAACTTCCAACTGAGTTTGTTCTAAACACCAGAAAATAAGAGTACTTTGGTTTCAGCCACATGCTTCCTCTGAGATGTTTTTGAAAAAGACGGCAGGTCCAAGCAGAAAAAAGGTTTTGAGTGATCTGCTCTGCAATGAAGTAGAGAGTCCTTAAAAGGACACGGTTTTACTTTCTTGTGAAATCTCTCCTCTAATGAAATAATGTATTTTCAAACACTCTGATTCTAACATTCTCCTCCAGATTCCAGCATTCCTTTTACTGGGATCCACATTCAACACTCACGGAAGCAGCAGTCAGAAACTCAAACAACATAGTGCATTAGGCAAACTTGCTGTGCAAGACCTCTTTAAAATGTTCAAGAGCAAAGATGTCAGTTTGAGGTCCAAGGTGCTAATGACCTAAGGAATGGTATTTTCAATAGCCTCATATGCATTATGACTGCAATTGTTTATGATGGATTGAATTGTGTTCCCCCAAAATATGTGTTAACTTGACTAGGTGAGTATTAAGTAGTTATCCTCCAGTTGATGATCTGATGTAATTACCCTACTCCCATGAGTGGTACTTTGAAACCTTTATGACGTTCATTAATGAGGCTGTTATGTTAATGGGGCAGGATGAAATCCACAGGATTCTATTGTATCATGAGTCAATCTTCTTTGAGCTATAAAAGAGATTAAAAAAGTGAATGATCAGAGGGTCCTATGACCACCAAGAAAGATGATTTGAAGGAGCAGTCTTCCAACACAGATTGGTTTGTTCTTCTGGCATTCCGTGGTACTTCCAGTATGTTTTGCCAATGCCATAATTCAAATGCCCTCATTCTTCTACAGGCTTCTTTTTTTTACTGTCCGACTTTAGCATGCATATGAGGTGATGGAAAATGCTATTTCTGTGGCGGGCCCATTTTAGTCTTCAAACTGACATCTTTGCTCTTTAACACTTTAAAAAAGGTATTTTGCAGTAGATTTGCTTAATGCAATCCATTTCCTTGAGGGTCTTCCTCTTTTGTGTTGATCACTCTACCCATATATCCTGCAGGGACTGGTTTTTCCTGAAAGCATGTCCAAAGTACCAGAGATTAAGTCACATACTTGATTCTAAGGAGTATTCTGGCTGTACTTGTTCTAAGAAAGATTTCTTGGTTCTTTTGGCAGTCCATGGTACTTTTCATATTCTTTTCCAACCTCACAATTCAGATGTACAGAATCTTCTCCAATC